AAGATATTATGAAATGGGAGCTGGTGGTACGCCTACCACGAGATATAATGAAATGGGAGCGGGTGGTACGCCTACCATGAGATAGAATGAAACGAGAGCGGGTGGTACGCCTACCACAAGATATAAGAAATGGGATCGGATTGCACGCCTGCAACAAGAGGAAACTGAAAGTGAAAGTTGCCTTTATTTTCTTCATTTGTGATAGAAGTTATAGTGCTAGCTTCCTTATTACTCCATGTTATTTCTTTTAACTACTATCCCTGAAGCATGTTCCCCTTCCCCATCTTTAACTGCTTATTACTTGTTTACTTTTCCGCCATATGTTATATAACTGTACAGGTTTATCTGGAGTCTGGTCCTAGCCTCGTCACTACCTCGCCGGGGTTAGGCCAGACACTTACCAGCACATGGGACCGGTTGTGCTGATACTACGCTTTGTGCTCTTTTGCACAGATCCAGGTTCTGGACAGCAGCAGTAGCGCGGGAACCAGCCTTCAGTCCAGTGAGACACTGAGGTAGCCTTGCAGGCGTTCGCAGGCCCGGCGTCTCCTCTATCTTTTATTTCCGTCTGTTATCTCATGTATTCGAGACAAACAGCTTATATTTTCTTTCAAACGGCTGTATTTAGCACTCTTAGAAGTTCGTGAGTAATGTGACACCAGTTTTTGGGTAGAGGCTTGTGTTGATTTTCGCATTATCGTTCAGTTCTTTAATTTAAGTCTTCCGCTTACTTATTTAATTCCGTTGTTTTCATGCTATCACTGATAAAGGTTAAAAGAAGTAATTTGTTAATGAAGTAAGCAGTTAAGGATTGGCTTGCCTAGCTTTCATTAGTAGGCGTCATCACGACTCTCGAGAGTGAGAAATCCGGGTCGTGACAAAAGGTAAATATATTTAATTGATGCGTCAAACTCTTTTTTTAATAATATAATGAAGCACGTCATATAAACTGAAAATTGTAAAATTTAATAAAAACTTTAATATACTTCAATTACTTCTCTGTTTAAATGCTTCTAAGAAAATGACAGTCTTAGAGGTCTAGCTATATAGCAGCTCACTCAATTCACTGGGATTTGCCTGTTATTATCACATTAATTAGAACCCCTTTCTCTTCCACTGATTTAAGTAACTTCATAACATTGGGAACCCACCTTATTTTTTGTTTTTTTTATCAATTCTTTTAGAATATAGGGGTATTTTTTAATGGCAGGATTCTTTTGGAATCTCATTTCGTTTAAATCTCAATTCTAAGAGGGTTAAGTGAAGATTCTAGTTGGTTTTGGTCAGAAACCATTAGAAGCTTCATTGACGATAATTAAATTGTTTCAATACTTTGAATTCGAAAACCGAATTTTGGAAAATTAGTATTTTTTGATTGGATATTGTTGAAATTATTGGGAATATCCTTTTATCAGAACGTAGTAGGTGAATGGTGATGCCCTAATAGTACCAATGATTAAATATTGTTAGGCTATCCTAGCCCAAATATATCCTTAATATAGTGTGATATTGTTCGCTTTGGGCCAAGCCCGCATGGTTTTCCCCAAAAGGCTAGATCCCTACACCTTATATGTAGACTCCCAATGCGAACGGCACAAATAGCCACTAAAAGCAGTGGCTTTTATTTTAAAGCCACTGTTTTCAATGTATTTAGACTTTAGCCACTCCTTTAAAAAATTTATACCTGACTGGACAAAAATACCCTTCTGGTATAACTTATACCTACGCTATCAACACAAGCAGCAGTTACACAAAGAGAAGAAGCGAGCAGCAGCAGTTACCACAGCGGCGATCAACTGTGGATTGATAAAGTTATAGACATCGCCTCCTATGATAATTCTGTATTCCGGACATAGTGTCTTCATTTTAGAAATTGAATTCAAAAAAATAAGAACACCATGTCCTTAACTTTGATTCTACTGGCCTCATTTTGTAAATTGAATAAAAAAACTTAAGGACAAAATGTCCTTCACTTTGTTGTTGTTCTTCTGTATACAAAGTCCTGTAGCTTGAGTTTCAAATTGTATGTTTTAATTTCTGGTTCAAATGTTAAGGACTGACAGTCCTTAACTTTTAAATACATGTTTAAATGTTAAGGACTAGCAGTCCTTAACTATTAATTCCATGTTTAAATGTTAAAGGACAAGCAGTCCTTAGCTTTTAATTTCTTGTTCAAAAGTTAAGGACTGACAGTCCTTAACTTTTAATTCCATGTTTAAATGTTAAGGACTGACAGTCCTTAACTTTAATTATATGTTTAAATGTTAAAGGACATGCAGTCCTTAGTTTTTAATTTCTGGTTCAAAAGTTAAGGACATACAGTCCTTAAGTTTTAATTTCTTGTTCAAAAGTTAAGGACTGGAAGTCCTTAACTTTTAATTTCATGTTTAAATGTTAAGGACAGACAGTCCTTATCTTGGTCTTGCACTTACAGTACACATATTCTTAATTCTACAAGGATTGCTTTATAACGTATGTCCTTTGTTTCCCATTCTCTTGACTTGTAGGATGGAAACAATATGCATAATAGTTGCTTTTAATGGTAGATGGACTGAAGACTATAAATATCTTAAAACAGAACATAAATCATGAACTAGCAAATGAAAAAGTACCCATGCCTCGAGTGCCACCAGTTACAAGAGCATTCATGCCATAAAGGGACCATCTATTCACTTTTCCACTACACTTAGTGGCAGTGGCAGTAGTTGTGAGTCGAACTGACTGCAATTCATCCATGGGTTTATTATAAAGTTTCTGGGTTTTGGAAGTTGAATTTTGTGCTTGAGAGAAGCAACAACAGTGTGTGAAATGAAGAGGGGTTCCGACATTTTGTTTTGGAGAGAGAGAGAGACAAGGGATTGAGGGATTGATGTGCACAGATAAGGGATTGAGGGATTGATGCTTTTGACCAAGCATGGAGGAGGCCAACCATGAAATCACGCAACGCGAAAGAGAGGAAGAAAGGGTAAAATTGTCTTTTTTCTATTAGTAGTGGCTATTTTTGCTGAGCATTATAATTAGTGGATAAAAATTAAAGACACCCTTAATTAGTGGCTACTACACGCCATTTTTACTCATTTGGGCTACCAATGTGAGACTTTGTTCGCACACCTAACGATCTCACCCTCGAACTAAGTTCCACGTGGCCCAGTAACATGATTCACGTGGGTTAATTTTTGAAATTCGCTGTGTGCTACCGACATTGTTAGAGTATTATGGCAACCAAAGCCCGCAACTAGCACTAGCCTAATACAATCTTTAACATGATGTGATATTATCCACTTTGGGCCAAACCCGTATGGTTTCCCCCAAAAGATCTCACTCTGTCAAGAGATACCTACACCTTATATGTAAACTCCGAATTTTTTTTAGCTACTAATGTGAGACTTTTCTCGTACACCCAACAAATATGTATCATACGACTCCTTTTTCCACCTCTCTCCTCTGATTTCTCTTTCTCTTTGTTTTTACTTTCCAATCTATTAGGGAAATTACATAAAAATCAATAACATGCAATTTCTGATAGTAAGCATGCCCCTAACCTACAAAAGATGGTATGCAACATAAAACTATAAAATTACACTAAGAGTGTCAAGGGCGGAGGTAGAGAGTCGAGTGCGGGTTTGGTCGAACCCAATAGCTTTGGTTCGAATCATATATTTATCGTAAAAAATTCATTGAATATGTATAAATTATTATTTTAGAACCTAGTAACTTAAAACAATTAAAATCTCGAACCCACAAGCTTGAAATTTTGGCTCCGCCTCTGAAGAGTGTGTACATTTAGTATGCATAAGTTAAGGATATGAAGCTTTGAGGCTACACTAAATTATATTCTTCTCTAAGAACCCAAACATATATTAAATATATTAAGGATCAGCATTCATTTCTTCTTAAATATTCATAGATGAGTCCACAAAAAAAGGGTCAGATAGTAAATCTTATCGATTCTTCAAAAAGCATCCAAGCAAATTATTACAGAGCTATAGCCTATATACAACATCCAAATATATATACACAAATTTTAGACTTGCCAAATTTCCTCGAAAAATATGTATTTCAGATATTAAAAAACTAAATCCGCCTAAGATAAATTATGACAAACACATCCAATTTACAGCTCCGGCATTACCAGCAACAACCAAGGATAATCTGATTAAGTTCATCTCCTTTGTCATAACAGATTAAGTTGGTTCACGAGGACGGGCAGCCCAGAGTGAACTCAGAGCACGAAGACGTTGAAGATACTCTCCGAAAGCAAGTAAGCCCCTAGCTGCTTGGCGTGTTGTCAAAATAATAGACATTTGCTGTAGTGTTTGTTGGCGTAGGTGATCCGCCTGTTTATGAATCAAGCAACGTCATTATGTTTTCATTCAGGAAAGTATCAAGATGTGTATAGAGTCACTAGAATCGGACAGTTCGTTTATGTTATTTTGTCCCAGCAAATGGCCTTATATATAAGCATGATGCATACGTGTGTTAGATACAGAATGTATATTTGATAGTATTTTCAAAACTTAGCAGGTGTTTAGTAGTAATTGAAGGACATAGGAACAATCTATACTTAACGAGTTAACATATACTTGTTGAACGTACACATCAGTTTCTTTCAGAATTATAAACATCTATGAATCTTGATCTTTGACGATATTGAATGACCATAGAGCGTTGACGTAGAGAACGAAATTGACAGTGGTGCAAGATAATGAAAGTAACACAAACCTGGTTAACAAAGCTCTCCAATGCTTCCAAATTTTCCATAGAAGAAACCATTTGGGAACTGTAATTTCCAGCTCCTGTGGTCATATTTAGGATGCTCTGGGCCAGAGTCTGCTGAAGTTTATCCATTCCCTGTGTGAGAGCATCTTCTGCCTGCTGGCAACAGTGTCGCAGATTACAGACTTTAATGATTTGCTGATCGGTCAAAGGCTCGAGTTGTGGCATCACCACCTGTTAAGTTGATATACAATTAGAAATCTCGCGTTCATTAAATGTTCTGCATGCAGACGGTGAAGGAAAGAAAAACACAATCATGATTTGAGTACTAATTTCAGATTTGTAGTTCTTAGTCTAGCAGCGCGTAAGTTTGGATGAGTCTACCAAGAAATTTATACTGTAGAGTATCAGCATTTACAAATAGTGCTTATTTGATCATGTACCATTAATTTGAAAAGTGCACAGATATGTGATGGCAACGAAACAATAAGGCTATTCGTGCTCCTTCAGTCAAGGATTTAGGATATGCCGTTTTGTTCACGATCATTACTATTGCAAACCAAGGTGACTCCGAGTTTAGTTGAGATTCAGTAGTTCAGTCTCAGTAAAATACCTCAATGGATGCTATAGTGATTCACCAAGAATATAACATCCTAAAAGGAGAATTGTTTGTCATGCGACAGACAACATATATAAACATAGCTGCAGCACTGGATGAAAGTTGCAACAGAAAATCAGTAGAGGAAATCAATAAGTTAAAATATATTTTAGGCCATTTGACTAGTTTTAGATGTAAAGTGATCTGTACATAACATAGGAAGGCGTCTAGCTTCAGGAAATTTATGTATGAAAGACGCTACGAGAAACTCATAAGCAGCAAGTGATGGTAAAATACTTTAAAAAAGAAAAACAGTAAAAATGCACCAGGGACTACATTTATGAGATCTGATGGCTTGAATCCTCCAATCCAGAGGAAAAAGCGCTCCACGGTTGTTCTCCACATCCCAGACATTAAGTAAAACACATCAGCCTTGGCGGCGTCAGCTTTCATGCGGAAGAGATTGAAATAGTGGCTTAAGACATTTTCTACCAGCAATTGAAGCTCCATTTCGCTTACAGGAGACTGCAAAATACTCCGCAATTCTGCATTCTTTTTCTGTTGCTCTTCAACCCAATGACTGTATTCCATCTCAAATGCAGCTATTCCTGCATAAGCAGAATAACTTAGGAACAAAGTCAATGACAGAATACAAGCATTTTTGCAGATAGTTAAATGAAGGTCCTTCAAAACAGGTGATTAACTGTTAGGACCGGAAAATCAGGTGTCATGCGGAAGCTAGCAATACAAATCTCTCAACGACGATAAATCAGATAGCAAAAGAGAAATCTACCAAAAGAGACACAAACATTTAAAGTGGTTCGGTCAACTAACCTACGTCCACAGCGGAGATGAGCAATCCACTATAATAAAAAGAGAGTACAAAACATCGAGAGAACAACCTCACGAAGAGGCAAACACGAGTGATACACTAACATTTGTCCCGTAAAGCTCTCCCCCTAAACAAGACTCTCAAACCCCATATGACTACATTGTGGATGCTACTGAATGAGAAGGAAGGATCCTCAATTTATAGAAGTTCAAACCTTTTCCTACAAGAAAAATGACTAGCCAAGTATATGAGAATTATAATTTCCTTCTACAAAAAGGAAAACCCAATTGAGGTAATTATATTGCCCTTTCCTTCAACAAATAAGAAAACCAAATATGATAAGAAAATTATAGGAAACACCTAACATTAACTCCCCGACAAATTCATCAAAGTGGGCTATTATTCTACTCTAATAGCAAGGATTCATCATCTAGCACTGTATGTAGTCTATACTTTCACTTAAGGGATTGAGCATGCCTGCTGTAGAAGGATAGCTAAATATACTTTTATTTTGATGGAACAATGTTAAAATTATGCATAGCCTATCTCATTTGGAAAAGTCGAGATCTGTCAAAGAACAACCCCCTACAGAGTAAAGACACATAAATATTCAAGAAAAAAGTTCTAAACTCTGCACCTATATACTGTTTTCTTATTATCATAAACATCTTGGAGTTAAAATAAACAATGGGATGTGAGAAACGAAAACGTGAAATTTTCCATAGTTTAAACGTCAAATTGGTAGATCACTCATCACATATCAGTAGTCAAGCTAATGATGCATAAATTATCGAGTGACAACTCCTCTATCCCCATACCTGGATTAATTGTTCCGAGTAGCCCCATATTACTATTTGAACCTAACATGTATAGTCCCTGCAATAAGCCATTTCGTAATGTCAAAAGGAAATGATGAAAACCAAAATGAGAGCACAGATATATGTATTTATTAGTATGAAATATGCAAGGGATGATGTCCCTGACCTGCTGTCTAGCTCTCTCGAGCTCTAACTCAAGTTGGGCCAACTTCAAACGGCTTGTTTCCAGCTGCTGAACATAAGCCTGTGAAAACGGCAAAGAAAGGAAACAAGAAAAACTGTATGACTACAAGTTTCCTAAACATCAACAGCTGCAACGGATTTTATGACTAAAATTTTCTTTACCTTTTTCCGCATACGACTTTTACGCGCAGCTTCACGATTTTGTGCTAAACGTCGTTGTACCTGTCATTCAATATGAAGATATATTTAGACTTTCCACATCAGAGGTTACTCTTTCTACTTATCATTTGGATAAATTTGCATAAAATGTGGAAGTGCTTTGCTTAAGGATGATTCATTCGGAGTTTCAATAATTTCTATAGGATATAAACCCAAAAACCCACCTTTTCTGAAGTACTCCTCGGTGCTTGATTATCCCCAGAGCCAGAGGGCATATGTTGTTCCCCAGACGTATATCCCGACTACAGTAACCAGAGGAAGACATCAGCCTGAAAACTATATTAGCTAGAATTTTATAAACCAGAACAAGGATATATGTTGCCTTACCTTGTCGTCTGGCCTGTCGTTTGGCTGTGAAACCATACATGGATCAGAGCTAGGCATAATGTCACCTCTAAATGCGTCTTCCCACACGCTCATCTGGTGAAACGGTTCATATATACCCATCCTTCTTGTGGGTGCAAACTGAGTTGTTGGAGAAGTCATGTTCATGGCCTGAATTCAAGAATAGAAAAAATAAATGTGACGCGGCTTTGAGATTACGTAGGAGAAAGCTGCTGATCTACGGCGGAATAGCCATGCCTAGGAACTTAAGTCAAATATCATCGGAAGAAAAACAAAGAGCTATATATAACGAGATTGGGGAGATACATGAGACACTTTCCCAATTACATTGGACCAAAGAGGCAACAGAAGACTAATTCCTCAGCATGCAGCACTCTAACAATGAAAAGTTCCATGTTCTTGAAAGGATAAACTTTCTACTATGAATCTATGACATGTTAAAATTAAGTTTCTGCATCTAATGAATTTAATTTCATGCATAAACCAATTAGACCTTTTAAGGTGGAAGTATAACATTGGCAATTTTATTTGGAAAAAGAATAGAAAGGAACACTTACCGACTGTTTATCCGCTCATCAAAGGGAAATCATGTGAAGTTTCACAGTTATCTTCAATGTTCAGTGGGCAACTCTAAGCGGCATGACTTTGAAACTACACCTAGACCATTTTTTTTAAAAAGAAATCATGGATGATTACTTCTCTCTCAATCCCCATCCCACCCACTGTAATGGAAAGGAAAACCAAGGTAGGAAAAGAACAGATGGATTCCAATAAGGAATTCAATCAAAAGAGGAACATGGAAATCAACAAAACTAATCTACTGACGGATAAATTGAATTAGCCTATGCATATAACTACTGGGATTATTCTTCTTCACTCACACACCACATACATAATCTTGGTCAAAGGAATGTGGCAAAAATCACTAATTAAAGAAGTGGAATGTTTCTTTGATGGTTGTCCAATATGTTAGATTTTACCAAGTAAAACAGAAGCAAAACAAATTAAAATATCAAGAAATTGAGCAAGAAAAACAAAAGACCAACCTGTTCATCAGCAGCAAATTAAACTAGCTAAGCTAGTTCTTGGTTATTTGAAGAAACCTTAATTCAAACTAAAAAGGTAAAAAGAATCAATGCTTAAAGAATCCCTCCATATGGCCTGAAAGAATGGAAGTTTGTCTATTTAGAGGCAAATGTAATTATCCCCAGCGCGCTGGACAAAGACAGAGAGCAAATGACAAAAGAACTACAACTAGTTTTAAAAGATTTTAAAGTACTAAAGAAGTTGACTGTCTTTCTGATATGCTCTCGGTCAACTGTTGATGCTTTTATATCATTATACAAAAATGTACTCACACAAAGACCTAGGAAAACATACACACTCACTCACGTACTTATATGATTAAGAAAGAGTTTACTGTATAGTATACAGAGTTTTGGAATGCAAAACAACTTAATTCGATTAGGGGTCGTTTGTCAGGGTGTATAGGAATAATATTGAATAAGGTGTATTATTAATAATGAGTTTAGTTATATTATGATTTTTTCTTATCTACTGTTTAGTTTGGTGTATTAAAAATAATATGTATTGCATAGGGGGTGTATACATGCTTATCTATATGTATTAAAAACCATGGTATTACTAATATTATGGTTTGCTATGTATTAGTTATATATAGGATAATATCAAATAGGGTAAATAGCTAATACATGTATTAGTTATACATAGGTTGGAAAATACTACTCCCTCCGTTCCAATTTATGTGAACATGTTTGACTGAGCACGGGGTTTAAGAAAAATTAAAGACTTGAAATTTGTAGTCCTAAACAAGTCAAAAGGGGCCCAATAGTATTTTTGTGGTTATAAAAGCTTTTCATTAAGGATAGAATTGTAAGTTTAAGCTAAATTGTTTCCAAATTTAGAAAGGGATCATTCTTTTTGGAACAGACCAAAAAGGAAATAGATTAACATAAATTGAAACGAAGAGAGTACTAAATAAGGAATTAATAACATCAAATCTAATACATATATTATCTTCCGCTCATACATCTTACCAAACGACCCTTAAGTGCTTAACTGACCTACCAACCTAGAGTCTGCACCACCCATAGCCATGTCATATTTTTTTATTTGTTACGATTTACTCATTCAATATTTGAAATTCGCGGGTTAATTTAACTTTACGCTTGATAAGGCTTATTATAAGAAGTGGGGGCGTACATAGGTCGGGTTGGTTCGAATTTTACAATTACCAAACCAAACTAATTTTGTCGGATTATTGAATCTAAAGACCAAACCAAACCAATAAAACTCGGGTTTTTCACTCTCGATTTTTCTCGGATTTTCGGGTTTTTTTTTCTCCCGGTAAAATTTTCGTAGAACAAAACATATAAATTGTGCTCAAAATATTTCTTTAATCCTAGTAAGATACAACTATATAAAGTATTTTCCAAAAAAATAATATGAAATATGAGATGTATCATGGCATTATCCTAAATATTCTACAATAAAATTATGTAATATGAATATTGCTAATTAAAAAGCCATAACAAAAATAAGTATAATCTAAAAGTACTAAGTCATACTAAAATAAGTAGACTAATAAGGGAGTATTAATTACATGACTAAACACTAAAGAAAAAATAAAAATAGGTTATGCATTTATCTAAATTATTGCAAAACAAAAAATAGATATTCAATACATTCTTGTTCGTAGTATTGAATAGAATGTTTTTTGTTAGCATTAGTATTGATTTGATTTTGGTTTGGGCTTTTGTTAGCATTATTTAATTTACTAATATTAATGGCTATAAAACTTATTGGAACATTCAAAAGTTCTACGTCCAACCTTGAAATAATACCTTAAAAGATAAAATTATGAAATTTTTTAAGAAATATTTATAAATTACATCACAATAAGTATATTTATATATTAAATATATCTAAAATTTATATATATCTAATGTTAGGTTGGTTTGGTTTCGGTATGATTTTCTTTAGTTAAAACCAAACCAAACCAATTATGATCGGGTTTTTTTTTCAACACCAAACCATAGTCGGGTTTTTTCCTCGGTTTGACTCGAATTATCGAGTTGGTGCGGTTTGTCGGTTTCCTTTGTACACCCCTAATAAGAAGGAAGAATATTCTATAAAATATTCTCTGTTATCAAGATTCGAACCCGAAATTTCAGATTAAAGGTAAAAAAAAATTAAATTATCCCACCACACTCCTCGGTGATGGCAACATCTGTTTCGTGGGCCATCCCCATGAGTCATTCAGGTTAATGCCGTTTTCTTTTCATCTTTAGTGATTTTATAATGTGGAAAAGGAGAAATGACATTTGGCTTGTTGGCATCCTCCAAGTCTTTTTAAAGGAGACTACACTATTAGGATTTGTGGCATGACACTGTTTATCTTTAAACATTTATTTGTACTCCGATAATTATGTATATATATAGATTATAAAGTAGATGGTAACGTGTTATCATAAAGTGTATACAATACTCATATGGAGTTCCATATAGATTCCCAAGAATTCTAACTACTATTATTAAACCTTGATTGATACATATACAAACGATTAGTTTTACTAATAAATTCTATAAGAATATAAAGTTTAATACGAAATCTTGATGTTTCGTTAACTATTTTGACATGTTAAATATTGACTAGCTTGTTGTAGGTTAACACCCGTCCTAGTACGTAGATATCAACTTTACGTGACAATATTTGAGACGTTATTTTTATGTGTTCATTTTACTTACTTTTGATATAATATTATTTTAAATAATAAAGTTGCTACTTGCTAGGTAATTGGCCAACAAGTTCATCAATTACACCATATACCTAACACAGAATCGTGTGCATATCCAATAAATTAAAATAGCTAAAGAAATCAGATGATGAGGTAAAAAGGTTAAAGATTTCTTGTACAACAACTAGGGATTTAAGCAAAGTGATGGTGAGGTGTTGCAATATAATAAAGGTGTAACTAACTTTGTTACCTTTACTTAAAAGAAGAAAAGAAAGAAAAAATATCGAATATCTTTCGGTATAGTAACATGTCAAATGTTACTAAAAGTTTTATCTCTGACATTCTGTTCCTAAGATTAGAAAAAAAAAAAGATAAGAAAATGGAAATATAATTACAAATTAATGTTATTGGATTAGGGAGCTAACGTGTAACTTTTTTAATAATCCCACTTGTGTAAAATTAAAGGTGATCAACTGCTGCTTGACAGGGATAAGGAGACAAAAGCAAAGGCAATTGTAAAGGCAAAATAAGGTGGACTTGACAACATAAAATCACCATGTTGAGATGTCTTTTTTGATTTAGTATTTTAAAATTTACGTTTAGTCTAATCCATGTTTAATTTCTTACTATCTAAACAGAAAAGATGGTCACATTCCAACATGGTAATTACCTGTCTCCCCCTATTCTTTTCTCCATTTAAATTCTATATTAATTAGTACTTCCTTACAGAGGAAAAAAAACACTATTGCAATGTTTTCCCTTCACTATAGCAAAAAGAAAATAATATAATTCCTGTTTATTTATGAGGCGCTAATCCTACTCTAAAGCAAGAATAAAAAGATTATCAAACAACTTGTTGAGAAGAAAAAGCTCCCTCATAATTCTGATCTTCATGGTGCTTCATCGAGAATTAGAGAAGAAGATGAGATGAAGAAGAAGAAGCAGACCTAATGGCTTCAGACCAAAGTGAAGAGTGTTCGATATAACCTAAGTGTATATGTGATAGTTTGGTCGACTTTGGATACATACGTGGAGAAGTCAGGGCCCTTGGATCAAGCAAGCTGAATTCTTGATTGATTAAATAATGACCATCTGATGAAATAAGTTCTGGAAGCTTCCCTCACGTGAAAGCCATGTGAGGGAATATTAGTTAGTTATGAATAAGCCAATTAGAATAGGAACACATGTACAGATTATTCTTTATGTATTTTTTTTATTTTATTATTCTTTTCTTAGCAAAGTGTATATATAGACATGTACTGGAAATTGACAAATACATAGAGAAAATTTTCAGATCTCATTCTTCAATTTCGTTCATGGTGTCAGTGCATTAGCTCGATCCAACAGTCCAAAGGCCTAGAATATTTACATCATCTGATTCTCTACAATCAACTCATCATCTTCACTAAGCTAAAATGGGTGACACAAGCAAATCTGCAGAGAGCACTGGTGCTGCAAAAGCTGTAACCTATGACATCAATCACCCATATTTTCTCAACAACTCTGATTCTCCTGGGATGACTTTAGTCAATACCCTGTTTGATGGAAGAGGATATCCAGGATGGAGGAGATCTATTTTATTGTCTTTGCCAGCTAAGAAAAAACTTGGGTTTATCAATGGAGCTTGCAAATCTCCAGATGTGGGTTCCCCAGATCTTGAACAATGGAGTTGTGTCAATGACATGGTGATTTCCTGGATTTTAAATGCTCTTTCTAATGATATCACAGACAGTGTGATATATTCCAAAACTGCAAAGGAGCTTTGGGATAGCCTGGAGCAGAGGTTTGGAAAATCAAATGGAGCCAAGCTATATCATCTGCAAAAGGAGCTGTCAGGATTAGTACAAGGAAATAGTGACATTGTAGGATACTTCACCAAACTCAAACGATTATGGGATGAATTGGATGCTTTAAATATGGTCATATGCTGTTTCTATATATGTACTTGTGAAGGAAAAGCAAAATTGACAAAATCACTTGAAGATTAGAGGTTAATTCAATTCCTAATGGGATTGAATGACATCTATGCACAAGCTAGAGGAAACATACTCATGATGAATCCCTTGTCTAGCATGGATATAACATATTCTCTTCTTTTACAAGATGAAAATCAGAGAGAAGTTTATGCAAAGAAACTTTTAACTCAGATTCATTGTCATTCATGGCAACAAGAGAAGTGAAACAACCTAATGCTCAGCTTCTGGCTGATTTTGTAGCATTTATGGTCAGAGGGCAGGGAAGGAATTTTCAGAAGAACAGGAATCAAACACAAAGAGCAACAACAATGGGAACAAAGTACAATAATTCAGGACAGAAGTTCAACAAACCACAACAGAAGTTTAAGACAAAGAAGAGGTACAATCCAAATGTGTCTTGTACCTATTGTGGAAAAATAGGGCACATTCAAGAGGATTGCTACATAATCATTGGATTTCCAGATGATTTTGAATTTACCAATCAAAAGAATTATCAAAATCAGATCAAGGCAAATGCAGTCCTAACTCATGAGGATAATGAAAATCAGACAGGACAGAATATTGAAAACAACAACAATTTTGGACAACAACTTAACAAGGAACAACTTGCAGAAATGATGAACATGTACAAGAAGGCAAAATTGGTACAAGCAGGAAATTCAGGAATCAATGCAAATGCAGTTGCTGGTACTATTCTAAAGTACTTAGGTTCAATGTTTACTACTCTAAATTCTGACACCTAGATCATTGATTCAGGTGCTTCAGAGCATATGTGTTTTGATCCTAACTCTTTCTTGTTTCTAACTCAACTTCCTGTTCCTTTGAACATCAATTTACCTAATTCATTCAAGGTAATTGTCACTCATATAGGAAGTGTTTCTATTCTGCCAGGTCATGTCATAAACAATGTCTTACATGTTTTAGATTTAAAGTATAATCTACTGTCAGTACATAGGTTTTGCATTCAGTTCCAATATGATGTCGTATTCACATCTATTAGGTGTGTGTTGCAGGGCCTTTCAATGAAGAGTCCACAAGCGTTTGGTGAAGTTAGAGAGGGTCTCTACATATTGGAGCCTAGTAGTCTTAAGTCTAAGGGAATATTCAGTAGTAATGTACTTTGAATTCAAAAAGGAAGGAATTCCATTTCAGATTCTCTGTCTTTTTCTAGTCCTATTCACGTTAATGTTGTTTATGATGTTAAGCTTTGGCATGTAAGGTTGGGACATCTCCCATTTTCAGCAATGAAACATTTAGATTTCCTTCATTGTGACTCAAATTCTGATTTTATTTGTGATGTTTGTCCTAAGGCTAGGCAGACAAGGAAACCTTTCCCTGTTAGTACCATTAAATCTAGAAATATATTTGATCTCATACATATAGATACATGAGGGCCCTACAAGTCCAATATCTATAATGGATTCAGATATTTTCTCACTATAGTGGATAACTACAGTAGAGGAACATGGACATTTTTGTTGTCTTCTAAGAGCAATGCATTTCCTATGCTAAAATCTTTCTTGTCCATGGTTGAAAGACAATTCAGTACAAAAGTGAAGATGATAAGGTCTGACAATGCTTTAGAGTTGGGGAAAGGGTCACAAGAAGCAGCCTTCCTTGCTTCAGAAGGAATTATGCATCAGGTGTCTTGTGTAGCAACACCTCAACAAAATGGGATTGTTGAGAGGAAACATAGTCATCTCTTAGAAATTGCTAGGGGTCTAATGTTTCAATCCAGGTTACCTATGTCATATTGGGGTGAATCTATTCTGACTGCAACACACATTATTAATAGATTGTCTTCTAGTGTTCTTCAAGGAAAAACACCATTTGTGGATCTTTTTCATCACAAGCCTAAGTATGACTATTTCAGGAAATTTGGATGTCTATGCTATGCTTCTACTTTGAAACAAGATAGAGGGAAGTTTGATGAGAGGGCAACAACTTGTGTTTTACTTGGTTATCCTATTCAACAAAAGGGTTACAAACTTCTGGAGATGTCTACAAGGAGAGTCTTTGTATCTAGGGATGTGGAATTTCATGAATCACACTTTCCATTTACAGAAAGAAACACAGCACATCATCCCATCTTTCCAACTTCAACTTTCACCACAGAACCTACCTACTCCACCACATTCCATGATACAACACAACCTATTCCTTCAGAATATGATATAGCAGATATGTTCTCACCAGTATCATCAAGTCCCCCTCATTTTTCTCCACCATCACCAACTTCAGTCTCCCCTAGCCTAGAGTCTCCTCACACTAGGACACTTTCTTCTACACCTAAAGAACCTACACTTTTGAGAAGATCAGGAAGAGTTTCTACACTACCTAAAAGACTTTGTCTGCAGTAGTATTATGTTGACAGATTTAGCCACAACCTGTTTCACCCAACCCTGTGTACCTAATGAGTACTGCTTTTCATCTCTTTCACCCAACAACCAACATGTAATGCAATCCTTTTCTACCCTAACAGAACCCTCTACTTTTAGCCAGGCTTGTCAACATCCAGGATGGGTAGAAGCTATGTCTGCAGAAATTAAAGCTCTAGAAGACAACCACACATGGGAAGTGGTTGAATTACCTAAAAGGAAAAGAGTTTTACCTTGTATATGGGTGTACAAGGTGAAGAACTTGTCAGATGGGAGAATTGAAAGGTTGAAAGCAAGGTTGGTAGTGAGGGGGGATATTCAAAGAGAAGGAATAGATTACAGTGAGACTTTTTCACCAGCGGTGAAGATGACAACATAAGTTGTCTGCTCACTGTTGCAGCCAAGAAAGATTGGATGTATCTCAACTAGTTGTCAACAATACATTCTTTCATGGAGATTTGCAAGAGGAAGTATATATGAAATTTCCACCTGGTTTGGATCCTCCTAGTCCTAAGCATGTTTGTCTTTTGAAGAAGTCACTCTATGGTTTAAAGCAAGCGTCTAGGCAGTTGTATGCTAGGCTAGTAGGGGCTCTAAGTTTTAAAGGATATTCTTCATCAATGAATGACTATTCTTTGTTCTTTAAACGCACAAATGGTCTTATCTCTATCTTAGCTGTCTATGTTGACGACATATTAATTACAGGAGATGACTTAGCAGAAATTCAGGACATCAAAGATTTTCTAAATACTGAATTTAAAGTCAAGAACTTGGGAAGTATACACTACTTTTTAGGCATGAAAATTTTGAGAGAACAAGCAGGATTCATTGTGAGTCAAAGAAAGTTCACCTTAGACATGTTGCAAGAATTTGATGTGTCTCATCTGCCTCGAGTCAGTTCTCCTTTGGATCCTGCCCTCAAGCTTCAGGCTGATGATGGAGAATATCTGCAAACCCAACTTTATTTCGTCATCTAGTCAAAAGACTGAATTATTTAAAAAATACTAGACCAGATCTTTCATTTGCTATATTCACCCTCAATCAATACATGCAGAAGCCATATAAGTCACATCTCTCTGCTGCTTTGCGAGTTCTCAAATATCTCAGTTCTGATCCTGTACAAGGAATCCTATTGTCAGCTGAGGCGTCTTTCTCTTTGCTCGCTTTCTGTGATGCTGACTGGGCTTCCTGCAGGGATTCAAGAAGGTCCGTTAGTGGTTTCTTTATTACTTTGGGAGGAGCTCCCACCTCCTGGAAATCAAAGAAACAAATCTCAATTTCTTTGTCCTCTGCCGAATCAGAGTATAGATCTATGCGAAGGGTTACTGCAGAGCTTACCTGGTTGGTATGAATTCTCGAAGATCTATTAGCACCAGTTACTCTACTAATTCCCCTTCACTCTGATATCAAGGCAACAATTCACATCGCCTGGAATGCCATTTTTCATGAACTTACAAAACATGTCGAAATTGACTGTCATTTTGTGCGTCAACAATTCCTTTCAGGGCTAATTACTCTCTCCTTCATTCATTCTAAAGCACAGCTTGCAGACATCTTCACGAAGCCCCTTTCTGGGGTTTCTCATCGAGATATTTGGGCAAGTTAGGAGTCACCAAGTTCCCATCTAACTTGAGGGGGATATTGAGAAGAAAAAGCCCCCTCATAATTCTGATCTTCATGGTACTTCATCGAGAATTAGAGAAGAAGATGAGATGAAGAAGAAAAAGCAGACCTAATGGCTTCAGACCAAAGTGAAGAGTGTTCGATATAACCTAAGTCTATAGGTGATAGTTTGGTCGACTTTGGATACACACGTGGAGAAGCCAGGACCCTTGGATCAAGCAAGCTGAGTTCTTGATTGATTAAATAATGACCATCTGATGAAATAAGTTCTGGAAGCTTCCCTCACGTGAAAGCCATGTGAGGGAATATTAGTTAGTTATGAATAAGCCAATTAGAATAGGAACACATGTACAGATTATTCTTTATGTATTTTCTTTTATTTTGTTATTCTTTTCTTAGCAAAGTGTATATATAGACATGTTATACACAGACATGTACTGGAAATTGACAAATACATAGAGAAAATTTTCAGGTCTCATTCTTCAATTTCGTTCACAACTTTATAATTTTTTTCAAGAAAATTTTATGTCTTATTATATTATGCGTGTTACAAATGTGTAGGATAAAAAATAGCAACCACTATGGTACAGTTGAACTAGTATGCGCCAAACCAATTAATGCAAGCATGTGTCTCTGTGTGTGTATCGATTTTATATATTGATTAATCACGGTTAACTGACATGTATTTATTCTTATATTAATCTATAATTTTTTAAAATTAAATTATTTAAATTGATATAATTACAGAGTGCGAATTAAATGTTTTTAATTGAGCTACTGCATTTTCTATAAATGATTATCTTTAATTTGGCCAAATTTGATGGGTGAAATAATATGCAACGTCTTTGCCTATCACGTACTGCAGTCAAAGTTAAGATGATGACTTTGTCTTTCAACAGAAATTTCTGAAAACTATGACCGTCTGGAAAAGGAAATATAGAATCTTGAACAGGAATTGCTAATTTGCAAGTAGGCTTTGAATATTGACTTCCAATGGAACAGTCTAATCTT